CAAACAAAATGGTGGAAACTGTGCCGCGTTGACTTTTATGTAGGTAAACCTGGTGGTGGTGGGGTCGGTCATTAGCGGGCCTGATCGTAATGAGTGGGACCTGCGTGGTCACGTGATATTGTGGTAGGTTAACACACGATATGGGATAAAAGGGGTTTCGTGGTAGGTGAACACACCATCTGGGATAAAAGGGGTTTCGTGGTGGTAGGTGAACATAGGATCTGGGATAAAAGGGGTTTCGTGGTGGTAGGTGAACACGTGATCTGGGATAAAAGGGGTTTCGTGGTGGTAGGTGAACATAGGATCTGGGATAAAAGGGGTTTCGTGGTGGTAGGTGAACACACGATCTGGGATAAAAGGGGTTTCGTGGTGGTAGGTGAACACGTGATCTGGGATAAAAGGGGTTTCGTGGTGGTAGGTGAACACACGATCTGGGATAAAAGGGGTTTTGTGGTGGTAGGTGAACACGATCTGGGATAAAAGGGGTTTCGTGTGGTTTATGGTGCAGGTGTAATTAATGCGGACGTCATTTTTTGTAAACATCGACGTGGTCGTCATTTTTGTATTCATTGATGTGGACGTTATGTTTTTTACTCATTGATGTGGTCGTCATTTTTGTAGTCATTGATGTGGACGTTATGTTTTTTACTCATTGATGTGGTCGTCATTTTTGTATTCATTGATGTGGACGTTATGTTTTTTACTCATTGATGTGGTCGTCATTTTTGTAGTCATTGATGTGGACGTTATGTTTTTTACTCATTGATGTGGTCGTCATTTTTGTATTCATTGAAGTGGACGGTTTTTTTTTACTCATTGATGTGGTCGTCATTTTTGTAGTCATTGATGTGGACGTTTTTTTTTACTCATTGATGTGGTCGTCATTTTTGTAGTCATTGATGTGGACGTTATGTTTTTCCCACGTTTTTTTTAACTTGCTTTCGTGTCTGTTTGGTTCTCCAATCAAATCTTGCGATCGAAATTTCGGGCACTTCCCGGTTAGCTAGCGCGCTGAAATTTTCAGGGGAGCTTTGTTTCCGATGACCATAGAATATTCAATTGTTATTATTACTAAATTGATCCATGGAAACATTTTATTGATCATTTTAGGCCGCTATATAATTGTACAAAAACGTGGGGAAAAGGGACATAACCCAGTAACTGTAATTTGATGAAAACAAAGTTCGGGACTCTCCCTCTTTTTGCTTACTGACTAGTGTTCACGCAGTGTTTGTGTACAAACAACCAGAACGTAACAACTGGTGGCCAGTATGGGGGAGACGATATGGTCGAGTGGTTGGGCACACGATTGCTATCCCACTCGGCGCGGGTTCAAATCTATGTGTTCTAGTCAGTAACGTATTCACACAACGTGTTTTTTACGATTTGTCTTTTTACGAGACTTGACTCTCTACAAGCTCCCTAATAAAAGCCAATAGTATTAGAAACTGTAAGAAAATCACGGCGCCCCACGTTTTTGATCGCTTATAGTAGAGTGATCGCTTGCATTATTGTGATGTATAACATTTATTTTCTACTTTTTAGTTCAATCAGAAAACGTGGGTTTTTAAAAACTTTTTTAATGATTATTATTTACTCATTAATGTGGTCGTCATTTTTGTATTCATTGATGTGGTCGTCATTTTTGTAGTCATTGATGTGAACATCATTTCTTGTTGTAACTGACGTGGACGTCATTTATGTAATCATTGAAGTGGACGTCATTTTTCGCCGGCGTCATTTTTAGTATCCCACTGTGTGGTAGTCATTTTCACGAGAGTCATGTATGTAAACATGAGCTGCATAATGATTACTATAGGCTATATGAGCAAGTTGTTGACGTCATTGATTAATCATCATTGACGAAGACGTCAGTGGGCTTACAATATTAGGGCTGGTAAGTAGGTCACCAACCAGTTCTATGGTTTTATTGAGCCGTAGAACTGGTTGGTGACCTACTTACCAGCCCTATTGGTGTAGATTTTACAGTGCATTACCGGTCAATGGCATTACAATGACGTCCCAGACACACACAAAACGTCCCGGAGAATGGGATTAGAAGAGCACGTCACGGACTGAGTCATGCGTCTAAATGGGTGACTCAATGAACATGGCTTTTGTCAAGTGGGTGACTCAATGAACATGGTTTTGTCAAGAAATAAAAATCAATGTTTTTTTTTTCCTTTATCTGTCAACAACCAAATGCTTGATGCAATAGAAGGGGGGGGGGAGATTGTGAGCTATATAAATGGACTTAGTGTACTGTAGTGTAGGTTTCAATGAAGATTTGTCTCCAATTGATTGGTAATGGGTGTGTGTTTAGTGTTACTAAAATGATGGAATATTCTTTAAAAGGGGTGTTAGGTTACTGGTAGTAAATTTAGACTAATATAACTTACTAAAATCAATGCCATCAACCTAATCCCTAATCAAAATCTTATGTTAAGGCCTAATAAAGCTCTAACCTCAATTTTGACTCCAACATTAAAACTGATATTAGAATACTGCAAGCAACCTAAAACATCTATATTTTGGAAGAGTCTATTGTCGGACTGGCAGTCTATGTCGGCCTTTTGTCTACGTCTGCTTTTTCTCTACGTCGGCTTTTTGACCTGATCTCGCTCCAGATATAAAGATTTAGTTTCTGTAGTGTTTGGTAACGTTATTCTGATCCAGGTTAGGGGAAAACAATTACAGTACAACTACAATTACAATTTAATGTACGATATAACTGTTAGGATATTTTAATAAAAAATTTAATGGCATTAAGAATTACAAAGAAAAATAAATTTTTGTTTGAAATACTAGAATGGAAAATTTAATAGAAGGTGGAACGAAAAGAGGAAAAAAATACACACGTATGCATACATATTGTCATTCACAGCGACAGGAACACATACACACACGTAAACACACACATACACACACAACTACACACACACACGTGCATCAGTAAACACTACAACGTGTTGGAAAACATATTACATTCTATGTGTAGTTGCTATACTACGGCTTCAATATAGACCCTTCCCCCCCCCTCCCGCGTCCAGTGCCTAATTGTCCTCCAATCTAATTAATCATTTTGAAAAATACCACCACATTATATTCACAGGGATAAGCTTGTTGTTTGGTCTTTAGTTAATGAAACAAATTCAAATCCCCATTATTTTGAAATATTTTGTTGAAATGATGTTTAGCAAGAAGCTAGTAATATATAGTCAAATATTTTCCTGTATTTAGGTCTGGGTTGGAAAAGTGTTGAGTATCTCTAATGACATCGGGAACGAGGCTGTCCCAAAAATAACAAATGGGGGTGAGAGCTTGAAGTAGACACCTCCCTGATGGGCCGCCCATTGAGCCAACTCGGTGGTGTGGGCCACATTTGGAGCCAGCTGAGGCGAGTGGCTCAGACAGAGAACTTTAGAGAGTTGTGGCTGATGGTTCAAAGTCGGACTCCAAGGGGGGCAGAGGCGTAGCTAGGGGAGGGCGGGGAGGGCGGCCGCCCCGGGCGCCGACCCTAAGGGGGCGCCAAAAGGGGTAGAAAAAAAATAAAAGCTCATTTTAAGCTGCAGTTTTGAATTATAAACAGTCACAGTAAAGAAATTTAACGGCTAAGAGCCTTTGCATACTGATTTAACTGTTTTCTACCTTGATTGTGTAACTGTAAAACGTATATCTTTAAGAAACAGTGACTGGAAAAACCGCTTTCCGGCTTTCCTAGATGAGGAGGGGGGGGGGGGGGGCTTTTTCGAAGACTAAAATCGAAAAAATTCACACCGGATTAAAGAATAAATAACTGATATCTCTCAGAAAAGAAACCCATTGAACTAAAGCGTATTTTACGATTGTGTAACATAAAAAGAGTTAGTGGCGTTTAAAATCCGCTCTACCATTTTTGTCCAAGATGGAGGGGCGCTTTTTCACTAACAAAAATCGCAGGATTTGTACTCTTTTAACACCTAGAAAAGAAATCAATTGTATTAACACTTTAATGGACGATTTCACTACCCAGTTTTTCTAAGCAATAACGCGACTAGTTCTTTGTACGATTCTTACGATTCTCTCAAATTGATCGTGATAGATCAGATACTTTTACTTGATTGCATTACATCTTGCCTGGATCAATGCATTAAAGAGAAATAAATATAACGGATTATGTATCGCTATCCGATCAGTAAAATAGCAGACTGTCGGAGCGGGTGGATGGGAAGCGACACTTTTTGCCAAAATTTTAAGAGAGAAGAAAATGAGTATATTGTACTGATTATTACTTTGTTTAACCTAACTGATAATTCAAAATTGCAATATTGGCCTACTATTATCGAAATTGTTCTAAAAACACGACCAAAAGTAGACCAAATAAGGCTTGCAACTTCTACAAAATACACTCTAAAGCAGTGGTTCTTACTTGATATGCGCAATCACCGAACCCTCCTTAATAGTTGTATCGTCCACAATTACAAAATCCGATCGTGAATCCTATGAGTCGGGTGTGTGTCTTGACCTCCGCGGAAGCCCTAAGACTGAATTACCGAACCTCTCGGGTTCGATGGAGCCCAATGTTCTAAGCTCTTTTGATTTTCTACTTTTTATTCGTTTCGGCATCTTAAGGGGAATTTGATTGACGTCCAATGAAGTTTTAGGGAACGACAATCAGTGTAATTGTTAATTTTTTTCCAGACTGTCGCACACACAAACACACACGCATATATATAAATATATATATATATATATATATATATATATATATATATATATATATATATATATATATATATATATATATATATATATATATATATATATGTGGGGGGGAGGCGCCAAACTGAAAGTTCGCCCCGGGCGCCGGGAGGCGTCGCTACGCCTCTGAAGGGGGGTGACGGGATGGGGGGTGGGGGGGAGGGGCTGATGAAGAAAAGTCGATTCCTTAAACTTATCCGTAGATTATATCCTTGTGGAATTTTTTTAAATCACTTGTTATATAGTTTTAAAATGCCTAGTTATCAACGTTTATAAACATTAATATATGCATGTTCTTAATAAATATAGATATCTATGTGTTGTTTGTGAAAGGGGCATAACCATTGTAAGATAGCGAAATAAACAAGGAGCTTTCAGTTTGAGTAAAATATCAACCAATCAACGCCGAGAGTTTATCTAAAATTCTGGGAAACACCAGATCTTTAAACCTCATGGCTGACGTGTCAAGGACAGGGGTGTTCCCGTTATACCGGAAGTGGTGTATTAGTACCAGCTCGGCCCCAATCTGCGTGTGAGTAGCGTCGTGACGGTGTTCGCGCGTGTAGTGTATCCCGGCGTACAGGATCAGTTCCGGTCTGACCATCGTTTTGGAGCGACCCAGGTACTTGTAAGTCTCATTGACTCTTCGAACGTGAAGAAAAGGCAAAATCTGGTATCGTCGGATCAGGTAATCGTCTTTCGCCGAAACGGAGAAGTTCTTCTTCACCATATCCCACACCTCCGACGACAACACTCCGTAGAAGTTGGAAGTCTCAAAAGTCAAAGACCCCAAGGGTTGAACGATGTTCCCCGTGGTTTTTGTAATGGTGACGCTTTCTTTTTTGTAATTTTCTTCCGCGATGGCTATGACGTCAGACAGCGTGTTGTGACGTATGGGAACGATGAACTCGTCCATGTCGTGAATGATGACGTATTTGGATACGTTGCGGTTGCGGTAGACGCAGTCGTTGATGGCGAGGACTTGAGCGAAGTACCAGATCTCCAGGCTCGGCAGCGACCACTGGTGAACCGTTAGGATACCTTCACGTATATAATGACGTAACACTTTATCCGTCTCATTACTGACGCTATAATTATACAGGTGAAAATGTTGAATGCCTAAAAATCTGTGAAATTCAATGTTTTGGATGATTTGTGAAGGATTTTTGAAGTTGAACAAGACGGAATAACACGTGGTGAAAACATGGAGTTGGGGGGCGGGGTAGTTCACCACAAGCTGATTGGTGGGAACTTCTGACGAATCAAATACGATGGAGACGTGGTCCGGATGTTGATTGTTGTCTAGTGTGCATTCGTAATTCACACTTCGGTACCTGGGGAAAAGAAAAATTAAACTTTAATCACTGATTTAACGATCCAGCACATAGATCAATGATTGATATATTTCCTTAAGCTTTCCGTGTTCTCAGAATCATATCCTTCGCACAGCCGAAGAAAAACTAGGTTGGGGTTGAGTTTGAGGTAAACGGTAGGTTAAAATGTTGAAATATCGAGATTCCGTTGAAAGCAATGACATAAACATCACCCTCGATTATCAAATTAAATATCACAATTTCCTTTTCGTCACTAACGAGCTAGATTCTTTTAAAAATGAAACGATATAGACACATATTCACACGAATATTAAGATCACTATTATCTAGATAAAACGCGAATGCTAACCCAAAAGTCTCGAGTTCGGATCCCGCGATGTAGGAAGTCCCTGTATCCACCCAGATCAAATACTTCAGGCTCATGTTAGGGTGACTAAGGCGGTTAGGTATAGAGGTGATCACGCTATTGAAACAGATTAATTCTACTTCACCTGCCCCATGTGCCTTAGGCGGGTACGTGTTAAAGATGATGACAAGCAGATGTACATTGTAAAAAAAAAATAGAAATTTTCCTTTTAAAAAAGAGTTCGAAATTTTAAAAATATTGATTTATTGAAATTCGTTAATTTTTTTTAAAAAAAAACTCTTTTACCTCTTAAAATGGTGATCTGGCAACAATATCTTCTTCCCGCCGATCAGCCGACTGGAGCCGTTCTCCCAAATCTGGCAGAAGACGGGCGTATTTGTTTCGTTGTTCTCTATAGCCATGACCCGCAGGAACCTGATGCCGTTCAGAGTGTCGTAGAAGGCAGAATACACCCAGCACTGATGGCTGCCGATTGGCTGGAAGTTACCGTCATCTCCAGCTGACCCACGCTGACCCGTAGGGTTGACCCTGGTGATATAATGATGACCCGTGATAATTAGGTACGAAAATTAAGTTGTGTTAGAATTAATTTGGACATGCACAAAATGAACAGATTTAGATACTAGAACTAAGAAGACAAAGGAGGGGACGATGTGGCCGAGCGGTAGAGCGTTGAACTGCTAACCCGAAAGTCACGAATCAATGGAAAGTCCCCGAATCCACCCACCTCTGATGGGTACTTAAATCACGTTAGGGAAAGTAAAGGTGGCTGGGTACACATCCCTTGATAAGCCGAGGTCAAGAAATATATGAACTCTGCCTCAACTGCCCGATGGATCGCTAGGTCTAAAGAGGAATCTTTATTTTTTTTTTACTTTTACACTTAGAATGATGTATCGTACAAAATACATGCCGATGGACAAAATAGTAGCTGAACTGTCCTGGGACTGAAATGATAGGAGATTAGAGGGGGGGGAGGGTTGACTGAAGTATAACATAAAGTGTGAGGTTTTATTTTATCCACAGATGTCGATTTACCTGACCGATGTTTGGACTGTGTTGTTGGATCTAATCAGTTGAGGTGCCATGTTGTTGTTTACTTCCCGTCCTCCTACATCCGGCCTGTCTGCCGGCCCTCTTACATCCGGCCTGTCTGCCGGTCCTCTAACTTCCGGTCCATCTGCCGGTCCTCTTACATGCGGCCCATCTGCCGGTCCTCTTATATCCGGCCCATCTGCCGGTCCTCTTACATCCGGCCTGTCTGCCGGCCGAAAACCGTGCAGCTCTCTGGACTCACGGCTCAGCGTGACGACAGTCTTGAAGCGCAGGCCAAAGGTCAAGGCCAGCACGACGACGCACGTGACGACCAGGAACTTGCACCTGGATCGGATCATCGAGGAGCACCAACAGCCTTTCCAGCACGGCATCTCTCGTGGGTTGTGTCCCCTGTGGAGTTATAGAAATTATCTCCCGCAGGTTCGTGGGTTGTGTCCCCTGTGGAGTTATAGAAAACTAATTATATTTATACTGTCTAATTGTTGTGCTCTTTCTATCATCGTAAAAACGCTGGCGTTTTACAACTACACCCCTCCAGCGAACCTGGTATCGGCGCCCCCCTTCCTCCACCCCTTCCATTGGTTTAAGACATCCCATTTTTTTTATTTTCAATTGATATAATACGTTTTGAAACAGTGATTTATCGTAATATATATTAAGATATTAAACATGTTTTAAAAAAACAAAACATGCCGACTTGTTGGTAGAGATCCATGCAATATTCCCCAATGTGTAGTTTGGTAAATATACATGCAATATTCTCTGATATAAAGTTTGGTAAAGATTCATGCAATATTCCCCAATGTGTAGTTTGGTAAATATACATGCAATATTCTCTGATATAAAGTTTGGTAAAGATTCATGCAATATTCCCCAATGTGTAGTTTGGTAAATATACATGCAATATTCTCTGATATACAGTTTGGTAAAGATTCATGCAATATTATCCAATGTGTAGTTTGGTAAAGATTCATGCAATATTATCCAATGTGTAGTTTGGTAAAGATTCATGCAATATTATCCAATGTATAGTTTGGTAAGATTCCTCTATGTGTAGGCAATCAACCAACACTAAGCGACCTTGTTCCCGCCCCCCCTCCCCAACCCCCCCCCCCTACACACACACACACACACACACACAATACACACACACACACACACTGCAAGCTATTTAAGCGCAGCCAGGCATAACTTTAATTCAATGGTATCTTTTTTCAAAATTCCTCTACCCGTGCGTTACTTGCTTTTTAAAAGTGGTGTATTCGTTCATCTGAAACGGATAGAGTCGGGTTGAACTAGTCATGGTTTTAGCCATAGACCGGCTTATCTGCAGGCTGGCTGCTGAGCTAGATGTTTATTAGGGTTCCCGTCTTTCTTTAATTTCCCAAATTATTAATAAAAAAAAATCCGCAACTGCAACAAGAACTTTCCCAGACGACGTTTTACTTCCGGTGTCACTAGACCTTCTAATTAATTAAGCACTTAAAACAATGTGTATAACGTAGCTTAGGTCTACTTAATTCAGCACTTAAAACAATGTGTATAACGTAGCTTAGGTCTAATTAATTCAGCACTTAAAACAATGTGTATAACGTAGCTTAGGTCTAATTAATTCAGCACTTAAAACAATGTGTATAACGTAGCTTAGGTCTAATTAATTCAGCACTTAAAACAATGTGTATAACGTAGCTTAGGTCTAATTAATTAAGCACTTAAAACAACGTGTATATCACGTAGCTTAGAGTATCATTAATGTAGAATTTAATTATTTGCGAAGTACTTCTGCTTTTAAAATTAGTTATGAGAGTGGCAATTATCTGAAAATATAATTATCTGTAAACATCACTAGTAGTGAGTCTTTTGAATTACCTATCCTCGGATACCTCGCCAGTAGGAGTAGAAGAAAGTATTTTTTTTTATTATATGATTTTAGGAAAATATTCTACATTTACTATTAGCATTCAGTTCCGTTTTTTTATTCGCTCTGATTAAATATATATATAGGTACCCAAATATTTCAATTCGAGATGCAAGCTCCGTCATTGCTTTGCTAGTCTATGACTTGACATTTGAATGGCTCTTCTGTTTAGACGGCCGTTGAACACTATCGGTATATAGGGACGGAGGCTGGGGTGTAAGGAAATGATGTATGGACACAGGTGAATGTAAACAATTGGAAGCTTACGTCCTACACGGGGAAATTAGTATTTTATGATATACATAAATTCAACTAAAGAAAATGCGATACATTTTTAAAATTTTACTTACACTTACAGTGAAACAAATGTTAATTTATAAAATACAATTACTTCTGGTTTCAGAGGAATATTACTTTCTTAAATTTGTTTGAGATCAAATATATATTTTAATAATATCTACAATTAGAACTTTATTCTTCATATTTGGCAAGGAAATGGGGATGTAAATACTTCCGCCCGACAACAACCACCCCCCCCCCCCCCCGACACACACATATACACATAGAAACAAACACACATATCAACAAACACGTATTGTTAACAGGCGGAGCGAGTTTAATATTCCTAAAGTTTGCCTCTGTTAACAGCCTCATCTGGTACTTCTATTACCCCAGTGTCTTGTACTATCAGGAGCCGTACAACATATTTCTGTTGGTCTGGCACTTGCAACCAAAACGGGGTATACCTAAAGTTCACTGAAGTGTGTCCAACACAGGCTGTGATTTGTTACATGGCTAGTGTCACCAATCTGTTGCGTGCTGACACACTGTGTCATCAATCTGTAGCGTGGTGACACACTGTGTCACAATCTTTAGATTAGTGGCACCCTATGTCACCAAACTATAAATTGAAATGATACCTGCACACCAACATGTAAGGCATTTGATGACACTGTCACCAATCAGTAGAGTAGTGTCACCAAACTATAAATGTGATGATACACTGTGTCACCAAACTATAAATCTGATGACACACTGTGTCACCAATCAGTAGAGTATTGTCACCAAACTATAAATCTGATGACACACTGTGTCACCAATCAGTAGAGTATTGTCACCAAACTATAAATCTGATGACACACTGTGTCACCAATCAGTAAAGTGGTGTCACCAAACTAAAAATCTGAAGACTACCAGCACACCAACATTGAAAAGATTTTAGAATTATTTTTTTTTACATTTTGAACGCCCACTTGAATAGTGTGCGACTCTATGCATGTTGCGGAAAGATTTTTTTTAATTAAGCACTTGCGGTAGTAATCAACTTTCAGAGTGTGAATGAAGAATAGCGATTAAAGGGATTAGAATGGCCACGTAAATGGAAAATCTGTTCACGTTTTCAATGGTGCAGTATCACAGTACACAAACAGGAATAATACAAAGTTACAGGAGGATAAAGTAACACGAGAAATGTGGCTTTACACAGTCATTTTTATAGACATCCATGAAACATTATGAGACGGATATTTTTCTCGGGTATAGGATGTAACAAACGTACACGTACACGTACACGTACACGTACACGTACACGTACACGTACACGTACACGTACACGTACACGTACACGTACACGTACACGTACACGTACACGTACACGTACACGTACACGTACACGTACACGTACACGTACACGTACACGTACACGTACACGTACACGTACACGTACACGCACTCAATAAAATAATAATCAATGCTCGTGTTATATAGTATAACGATATATTACCTCCATATATAAACAAATGGTAAACCGCTCAACGATCATGTATAGTAACCAAACTGGTTAAAATTTCTAAAAGTTCAGCTTTTGTTCCCGACCCCCATGCAAAGTTTCTTCCAGGCACCTCTTCGGAGGGGGCGGAGCCCCCTTCCCGAAAAAAGTCTACCGCCCCCCCCCCCCCTCGAACGAAATGGAATTTATATAGAAAACATATACTTTTACCAGTGTCCGCCCACCTCCGGAAAATGTTGACCGCCCCCGCTCCCCCCCCCCCCCCCCGAAAATATCAAGTGCCCCCCCTCCCCCGGGAAAAAAAGTCTGAAAGAAACACTGCCCCCATGTGCTAACGGACATGTTGGTGTCAAGGTCGGTGTGTGTCATGTAAAAGAGTCGTTAAAATTGTGGCACTAATGTCAGTGTCAGGTGACACAATGCTGTCCCGTATGCATAAATGGCGACCGATACCGTTGACTATCTTAACCTAGTGCCTTCTCAGACGGAAAAAAAATGGCCGCTAGACACATTACACGGTGCGGTTTAATACACCGTTTTAGCACACAGACCCGACACATGCAATGTAATACACATACCCCGCCTCTACAGAACACACTGGCCTAACACAATAGTCAGAAAAAAAGAATAAAAGTACCTCGCGGTTTTACTGTTGCCGGTATAAAATTTTATTACACACAGTGAAATCGTTGCTCCTAGTCCTGTTTAGTGCTCTAAAACACACACACACACACACACACACACATATATATATATATATATTACTTACTTACTTAATCCTCAGGATTGTGACGTATTTTACAAAACTTGCATGCATACACCTTTAAAATATCGAGCATTGAGGCTACAGCCTAATTAATTAATTGAAAGTAAAGACGAATGCTGTGTACACAAAAATAACGTTTTATCTAGTTATATAGTACGGCCGAATGGATTAAAACTGACAGTTGCTAATTTTAAAAGCTCTGAAACAAATTATCGTTTTATTCTCCCGTCTTGGTTTCGAATACTTATTTATTTCACTCAATTATAAAACTTTTATTAGAAATGAAGGCAGAAAATGAAAATGAAATGTAAAATACAAACTTTTCATCAACCAACTCTAGTGACAATTCTTTTTTTTTTAAAGAAATCCCCTTGAACACTTCATACACTACACCTTATAAAAAGAATATCGATATATTGTGTTTTACATATGGAAAACTTCGCAACGTGTGAAATTGAAATAGTTAAGCCTATGTTTTCAACCAAAATGCTAGTTTTAAAAACTACAGTGTTGAACTACAGTCTTAATTTCAATGGGCTAAAACTCGACAGCCGATTGGTTGAATGCGAATGACACAGAAATGTCGTATAATATAGCTGTGTTAGCCTTAACACGTCATGCCTCAGTGCCAATGAATGTCCATAGTTTTCAGATTTTTTTTTCTTTTATATACCGACACTAAAGATGGTCTATATATTTGTACGTTCATTTTTGTATACATTGGATAAATTTCTTTTGGAACAATTGTTTTAACCCGCATCTACTGAATCATTTTTTTTTTCAAATTGGCACATTTGTAGCTCAGCTTAGAATACCGTATAATAAGTACTGTATGTAATTGCTAAATCAAGAATGTAAATATAATTTACCCATTATTACTCGGACAGAGTTGTGTTTGAAGAATAATATTTTTTCG